CCCCCCAACTCCACCCAGCCCCACTGACTGGCCCCCAACTCCATCCAATTGGGAGAGTCTGAGTGATGAGAGCAGAGCTGCCCCCCTGGAGCAAGGACACGGAGAAGGGAGCCAGTGGCACTACAGGCCGGGCTCTGGAGTCAGGCAGACTCCCTGGGCCTCAGTCTCCCCAAGCCGTCAGCGGGATGCTAGAGGATCCAATAGGAACACGTGAAAATGCCTAGTCCAGGGTCTGGGCAGAAACAGTGCAGAGTCAGTGGGACTGGAATTAGTGCAAAGGTGAGGCGGGACGTGCTTCCTAAACCCACACATGGAAGCTAAGCGGCAACACTGCAGTTCTCAAGGCAGCTGTTCCTGAAGGAAGCACTCTCTACCCGGGGGGATGGGGTGTTGGGGGTACCTGGGTGAGGCTGGAGTGCCAGCAGCGGTGAAGGGATGATGGGGGCTCCTCCCTAAACCGAACCCTGCCCACCTCTCCCACCCTATCTCTCACCACTCCCTGTGTCTACCCTGAATTATCCTTCGGGCATATAGTAGGAGCTCAGTAAATGACTGGAATGCATGAGGCTGCTCCAGCCACACGCTTCCCCTCATCCAGCAGCTGCCTAACTCCTACTCACCCTTTATGGTCCAGCTTAAAGGGCACTTCCTCTGGGAGGCTGCCCTGACCTGCCCCAACACTATTCAAGGTTTTCCTGGTCTCTCGCGAGCCCCTGAATTCTCCCCATCACACACCAGTCATGCAGGACAGGGACTGAATACTTCCCCAGTGCCCAGAACAGAGCAGGGGAGGATAAACACGAGAGGGAGGGAAGAGCGGTGAACGGGGGGAAACTGGGGCCATCTGCGACCCGTTGTGATTCGGAGAGCAGTGTCGATGGCTTCCCCCAACAGCAGTTCTCATTAGAGCAGTGACTGCAGAAAGAACAGGTGTGACCCCAAGAGCACAGCCTGAGGGCTGTGTCTGGAGATTGAACTGGCCTTGCCCTCACTAATCCGCCGCAGCCCAGCCTCCTCCAGCAGCTGCCAGTCCTCACCCAGCACGGAGAGCTCAAACCTCCTCTCTGCCCTCCCAGCCACGTTCTCAGCCACGCAGCTGTAGTGTCCGGCGTGGGCAGCCCGGGCCCGCTCCACACGCAGGCTCTGACCGTGGTTCTGCAGCTGCAGGCCCGGCTCAGCCCCCACAGGCTGCCCGTCCCGCTGCCACGTCACTGTCGGAGGGGGTTTCCCTGTGGCGTTGCACTCCAGAGTGGCCACTCCATCCTGGACCACGGAGACCTGTGTGGGGGGCTCTCGGGGACCAGAAATCTGAGGGAGAACTGGGGTGGGGAGAAAGCCCATCAGAGAAGGCTGCTGGGGCCACCAGGCACTACACACTTGCCCTGAGCCCCATAGGGACACATCCTCTCCCCTTGCCATCGCTGCCTGTGTGACCTTGTGATCTCACCTCTCTGGAGGGGTTCATTACTGCACCCTACCGCCACAGCCTGGGACTCTCAGGCAGGCCTGCTGTTTGGGGAACAAGCTCACAACACAGCCCTTTCAGGAGGTGTGAGGGGTTTTCTTCCTCAAAAACCAGAGACTTCTGGAGCTTCAACAGCTGCTGGGACTGGCTGGGGTGGAAAATTACTGTATGGGTGGGTTTCTCCTCAACAGATTGAACAGAACTTTCCCTGGGTTTATTTTCTAGCAGGATTTTTACAAAGCTGAGGGGTTTCATTTCATCACTGCAAGACAAGTAGATAGGGCTTTAGGTTTCCACCATATATAGGAGCTTCACATAACGCTTACACTTCTTTCGGGTTTCCAGCTCTTTCAGATGTGGTTTTCCTCCTCTGGACCATTGGGGGTCCTTAGGGACCATGCTGCCTCCCATCCTATGCTTGGGTTAGTGAGAAGTTGTGTGGGAGGGGCAGTTAAAATGCCAGCTGATACGGTCTGGCTGTGTCCCCACCCAAATCTCATCTCAAATTGTAATCCCCACGTGTGGAGGGAGGGACCTGATGGGAGGTGATTGCATCATGGGGGCGGCTCCCCCATGCTGTTCTCGTGACCGGGAGTTAGCTCTCGTGAGATCTGGCTGTGTGATAAGTGTCTGGCACTTCCCCCTTCTCACCCTCTCTCCTGCCACCATGCAAGACATGCCTTGCTTCCCCTTCACCTTCCGCCATGATTGTAAGTTTCCTGAGGCCTCCCTAGCCATGCGGAACAGTGAGTCAATTAAGCCTCTTGTTTATAAGTTACCCAGTCTCAGGAAGTAGCTTTAGAGCAGTGTGAGAACGGACTCACACCCCAGGAATCTGAGGGAGGAGAAAACCCGCACCACACGCCATCACTTCCCTGTATTTGCTCCGATTTGGGGGCGGCGTCTGCCCAGCCAGCCCGTGATCCCAGACCCTTCCAGCCCTGCCTGGCTCACCCACCGTGCACCTCCAGCTGCTGGTCCTGGCTGCTGTTCCCCGCTACGTTGCTGCACTCACAGGTGTATGTTCCCTCCTGAGCCAGCTGGGCCTGTCCCAGGTACAGCAGCCTCCCCACAGCCGACACCTGCTGGAGGCCAGCCCCCTCCCCAGGCAGGGGTTTACCTGGGTGCAGTAAAAAAGAAACTCCTGGTCCAAGGCGTCTGCAAGGATGTGATGTCTTTCTACCTGGAAAGTTTGTCCTCCCACCCATCTGGCCAACTCCTGCTCATCCTTCAGGTGTCCATTTAGACACTGCCTCTTCCAGGAAGCCTTCCGTGAGTGCCACATGTGGTCCTGGTGCCTCCTCTGAGCTCCTCCCTATCCTCCAGCCTTCTCCCCATCACAGATCTGCCTACAGATGCCACATCTAAATCCTACCCTGGCCTGGGCCCTCCAGAATGGCAGACCCTGCCTCAATTTCCTCCTGGGATCCTTTTTTTTTTTTGGGAGACAGTCTCATTCTGTCACCCAGGCTGGAGTGCAGTGGTGCAATCTCGCAGCCTCCACCTCCTGGGTTCAAGCAATCCTCATGCCTCAGCCTCCCGAGTAGCTGGGATTACAGGTGTGCACCACCACGCCTGGCTAACTTTTGTGTTTTTAGTAGAGATGGGATTTCGAAATGTTGGCCAGGCTGTCTCGAACTCCTGACCTCAGGTGATCCACCACCTCGGCCTCCCAGAGTGCTGGGATTACAGGCGTGAGCCACCACACCCAGCCTCCCTCCTGGGGTTCTTAGTGGCTCCCCAGGGCCAGGCACACAGCAGGGCTCAAAAGGCTACTGATAGAATGACCCTCTGCAGCGGCCTGAGGAGGCTGACCAGGCAGTCGGGGGACCCCTCGGGGGAGGAGGGTGTGTCAGCCTTGACCGACTGGATTAAGCACTTCCACCTGTGTTTCTAGAGGAGCAACCCCGGACGCTGGGTCATGACTCAACGCATGTCCGAGCAGGGAAGGAGACCCAGTGGCCTCCTGCTGGTGCGTCCTCCCTCTGTCCTGCTGACCTCAGCTTGTCTCGCTACTCCCAGGCTGCTTCCTAGCCCAAACCTCTCCTCTGAGTTCCAGACACCTGTCTCTCGCCGTCCACTTGACCCCTTACCAGGCGTTTAGCAGATGTCTCAAGATTAATTCACCCCAAACGCGAGGTCTTTCCACCACACCTGCCCCTGGGGTCTCCCATCCTGGTAACGGCCGCTCCACGCTCCCCCATCATCCCCGATTCCCTGCTTCCTCTCGTTCCCCCATCCAACCAGCATTCCTGCCCTAGGACCCTTGGACTTACCCTTGCCTCCGCCTGAGACGCGTTTCCCTGCGATATTCTCGTGCTCATCCCTTTCCTTTCCAAGTCTGCTTGGTCAAGCATTCCTGGGCCACCCAACTTAAAACTGCAAATCCTACTACCCCTCAGGACATCTTCCTACTTCTGGGCTTTATTTTTCTCCACAGCATTTATCACCTAAGGTGTGGAGTCATTTACTGTGTGTTTATTACCTGACAGCCCCCGCTGTGAGTGTGGGGATCTGTGTTATCCTCTGCTGTATTTCCAGTGCCTAGAACAGGGCCTGGCACAGTCTCTCAATACATATGCATTAAATGGGCTGCGTGCAGTGGCTCATGCCTGTAATCCCAGCACTTTGGGAGGCCGAGGCAGGCAGATCACCTGTGGTCAGGAGTTCACGACCAGCCTGGACAACATGGTGAAACCCTGTCTCTACTAGAAATACAAAAATTAGCTGGGCATGGTGGCACCTGCCTGTAATCCCAGCTACTCGGGAAGCTAAGGCAGGAGTATCACTTCAACCCAGGAAGTGGAGGCTGCAATGAGCTGAGATCGTGCCATTGCACTCTTGCCTGGGTAACAGAGCAAGACTCTGTCTCAAAAAAAAAAAAAAAGAAACAAAGGTAAAGTGAATTCCAAATGTTTTTTGAGCACCTTTTTTGTACTATACACTGAACTTGGAATTCAGCAGTGGTCAGGGTGGTGCCTCACAGGGGTCACAGACTCATGGAGGAGCAGACACAGAAGCACTAATGTGAGTGACATGACAAGTGACAGGGACTGCATTGGGGAGGCTCTGCCCCAGCCTGGCAGTCAAGGAAGGCTTCCTGGAAGAAGGGACATCTGATGTGAGGCCTGAAGGTCAATCCAGCTCTTACTGGTAGGGCAGGATGGGACCAGGGGCTCCTTGCAGGCTCAGGGACTGAGCAGAGAGGGGCTGGAGGAAGTGTCCTCCCCACCCTCTAGAGGCATAAGCCCACCCATCACAGCTAGGCTCTGGGGTGGGGGTACACAGTGGGGGCTGGGCGCAGCCTCCTTGTCCTGGCAATGAGGTGGGGCTGGGAGAGGGTAGCAATCCTACCGTCTTTCCTCCAGGAGATCTTGGGGAAGGGGACGCCCTGGCATTCACAGGACAGCCTGGTGGGGTGCCCCTCGCTCACGGTCAGGGTGTGGGATTCCCTTGAGGGGAACACTGGAGCAACTGAGTCAGAGCAGAGAGAGGGTGAGTGGGGGTGGGGCTGAGATGGGGAGGGGATGAGCGAGGCGGGCGGGCTGGAGGAGGGCTGTGTCCTGGGACCCCATCAAGTCAACAGCCCCTCCCCCTGCCAGGCCCGGGAGCCCCTCACCCCAGACGTTCAGATTGTAGTGTTTCTCTGAGTGGCCGGCCTGGTTCAGTGCCTCGCAGGTGTAGCGGCCTGCATCCCACATGTCGGCTCTGTCCACCTGGCCGAGAGCAAAGACACCCCATGGGCGGGACAGCACAGAGATGGGTGACCCCTGGACAGGCTGTGTGACCGCAGGCAAGTCATGTGACTTTGCTGAGCCCCAACCTCCCCACATGGAGCACGGGGCAGTGACAGCATCTTCCTGCCAGCTGCACTGGGAAGTTTCCAGGAGGTGGGCCTGAGAAGGACCCCTCGTGGCAGCCCTGCCAGCCTTCCCACCTTCACAGCCATGGCCCAGACTTGCTAAGTGGGAGGCATGTGACTGGATCAGACCTGCTCCTTTCCTGTCATCTGCTCCCAGCCTCCTTGGAACCAAGGAAACAGACCCAAAGAGAAGGTGGAGGAATAAGGCTGGTGGGGTGCAGGGACCTGTCCTCCGGGGTCAGATCCTGACATGGGGATGCTGGGGCTAGGCTGTGGCTTTGAAGAATGAATGGAAAGGAGGGGAAACCAAATGGCAGTGCTCTGAGTTGGGAATGATCATATCACAAGGTGTAGAGGGGTGGGAGGAGGAAGAGGAGCAGACAGGTGAGGAAGGTTTTAACCCAACAGCTGGTGCCATTCAGCCGCATCAGGGGCCTTGATGGAGGCCCTGAGGACCCAGTCCTGGAGTTTTGTACCCCATTCCCTGGCAGGGAGGGGGCTTGTAGGTCACTGAGCTGGAGCACCCGCAGGCGCCGTCCTGCCCATGGCCCAAGGTGGAGGCCTAGTTGGCTGGCCCGGGGGCTGCACACCTGTAGCAAGGCTTTGTCTGTGGAGAGGTGGACTCCAGGCCGTGGTTCCAGGGGCCGCCCATCCTTCCACCAGCTCAGCACGGGTGGGGGCAGGGCGTGACTCTGGCACTCCAGGGCCACGGATTCATTGGCAACGACGGACACATTCAGCTCTTCTCCGAGGATACTCGGGGGCACTGCAGGAGGGGCAGGAGAGGGGCTCCCTCAGGCGCATGGGTGGGGCCGGCAAGGAGGGGCCGTGCCCTGGGTCAAGCCCAGCTGCTCCTAGCAGCCAGGGGTGACCACACTTCCTCTGGCTTCAGTCCTGCTTCGAAGGAGCCAGTCTGGGTGAGACGGGTGGAGTGTGACGTCTGCGTCCCAGATTCCATGGAGGGAAATGGGAAGGGAATTCGGGGCCTCCCTGTTAGCTCTTACAGATATCTGTGAATCTACAGTTATCCACAGCGGTTTCAACACTCTCTAAAATTTAAAATGTTTAAAAAAAATTTTTAAAGCATGTCTCAGATCCGCCTTTTGCCCCTGAGATAAAAAAAAGTCAGTGCAGAGTTGCAGGAAGGAGTACAGGGCCAGGGTGAGAGCTCCTGGGGCGGGATCTTGCCTTCCAGCGCGTGCTCACTATGCAAGGCCCTGGGGTTGCTACTCACACTCCTGGGCCTCAGTCTCCTCATCTGTAAAGTGGGCATCAGGAAAATCCCCACCTGGTGGGGCTGCCACGAGGTTCAATCCAATGGCACAGGTGGGGCTCTTAGGCTCACAACATGTTAACCACCATCTTCATTCCAGCAAAGAGAAAGAGCTAGAATCGAACACTTCCTCCCACCTCCCACCTAAGACTACAGTCGTTCTTTTTGTTGTTGTTTTTGAGACAGAGTCTTGCTCTGTTGCCCATGCTGGAGTGCAGTGACCACGATCTCAGCTCACTGCAACCTCCACCTCCTGGGTTCAAGAGATTCTCCTGCCTCAGCCTCCCGAGTAGCTGGGATCACAGGCATGTGCCATGACACCCAGCTAATTTTTTGTGTTTTTGGTAGAGAGAGACTTTCACCACATTGGCCAGGCTGGTCTTGAACTCCTGACCGCAAGTGATCCACCCACCTCGGCCTCCCAAAGTGCTGGGATTACAGGCATAAGCCACTGCACCCTGCTCCCAGCATTCTTTCTTATACCTCCACAGAGCCCCGGAAAAACCCAGATGAGGACATTTAAACATAAGCTACCGTGGTGACAGCAGCTTCGTGAGCTCACGAGCTTAGTGAGTCCCCATGGTGAACAATGAGGTGAACCCTATCCTTTCCATTTCACAGATGAAGAAATGTTGGCTCAGAGAAGCAAAGTGATCAGCTCAAAATCACAGAGGCAGGGTTTGAACCCCATATCAGTGACACTCAAGAACCGGCTTTCCGAGCCACCACTCCACACTGCTTCTGCTCCTTCACACCCCTTCCGCCTCTCCCTGAACGTGAGGCAGAGGTCCTGGCCATGTGCGGCATCTGCCCACCGTCCCACCCATTGGGGGAGCTCACACTCCAGGGCAGGTCTCCGGAGGTTCACGATCCCTACTGGAAGGCGGCCGCTCTCGGGTGGGCGTTCCTCCATCCACCCACCCTCTTTCCCTTTGGATGTGACTGGGGGTGCCCCCACACCACCTGCTTGGAGTTGCTGCCGTGAACCACGTGGCGTTCCCAGTCTGAGACTCACTGTGGACCTGAAGGACGACATCCCAGTGGTCTTCGCCCACTGTGCTCACAGCCACGCAGGAGTACCTCCCAGAGTCGGAGGCCCGGGCGCTGGCCAAGGTGAGGACCCGGCCCCCAGGGAAGACCTGTGACCCCAGGGGGAAGCCCAAATTAGGCAACCGTCCTGCTGTTGCACCCCAAGGGGCAGAACGTCACCAGCACAAGCTGTCCCAGCTGTCAAGCATGCCTGGACGGCCTGCCCTGACCCTCAGGGCCCCTCAAGATGCAGGGAAACCCAGAGCTGCAGCTGGGCCTCCGGACCTCTGCCAGCTGGTGGGCACTGACATTGGTCCTCAGGATGAGTCCTTTAGCGCCCCTCTGTTCACGCACCACCCATGGCCAGTGAGCCCTTGAAATGTGGCCGGGCCGAATTGACTGGGGCACCAGGTACAAAATACACCACAGACTTCAAAGAGTTAATATGCAGAGAAGAATAAGCAATATCTCAATTTTTTTTTTTTATTGATCTCATGATGAAATGAAACTATTTTGGATCTATTGGATTAATGTGTATTATTAAAATTGATCTCACCTGTTTCTTTTTACTCAGTTTACTGTGGCTACAAGAACATTTACAATTCCAGAGATGGTTCACATTCACGGTTACCGTTGGGTAGCGGGGCTCTAGCCTCTCTGTTCAGCCCCTCCGCCCTCCAGCGCTCTGCCCTCCGCCCTCCGCCCTCCGCCCTCCAGCGCTCTACCCTGGGCTACTGCCGCTTCTCCCTCACCCTAAGCTCCCAGGGCCTGACCTCTGTTTCCAGCACCTACAGGAGGTGCAGGAAGCTGAGCTGGGCCATCCAGCCCTACTGACCTGCAGGCCAGGGGTCCCTGCAGGGGACACAGGGTTTCCATCCTTCAGCCACATCAGTGTGGGGCCCGGGGAGCCAGTGGCATTGCAGGTCAGCCGGACAGGGGTGTTGACCAACACAGGGCCTGGCAGGCTGGGCGGCAGCGTGATTCGAGGGGGCACTGCAGGGCAGGGGTGACATGGGGCACAGGCTGAGCCCCACTGGGGCAAAGCAGGCAGGGCCCTCACTGGGCACCCCTGCAGGAGCACACGGCCACAGCAAAAGCACAAAGACAGCCATCGGACACAAGCCCTGAGCAACTTCACCGCCCCTGAGGCTGCTCACTCCTTCCTTTCAACGCCACCACAAAGCTTCTATGGATGGGAAACTGAGGCTCACAGAGGGGAGGTCACCTGCCCAAGGCCAACCAGCTAGGACGCAGCACTCACACTCAGGCCTCTGGTCAGCAGAAGGTCATTTATCATGGGGACGGGGAGGGACCAAGGGTCCCTGGACAGGGCCACTTCCTAACTCAGGGGTGTGAGATGAAACGCCATCTTACAGGCAGTCCCCATTGGGCAGAAAATAGCCAGAAGATTCCCTTGTATCTGGGAGGCACCGGCCATGATGCCCAGGGTCCTAGGCCCCTGCCCAGCTACCCACTGCCCTTAGACCCAACCTCTCCATGGCCCATGAGGCCTGACAGGTCCAGCCTCCATATGGCCACCAGCACCACCCCAGCCCTCTTCTCGGTGTTACAAACCCCAGGCCCTGTGGCCTCCTTTCAGTGTCTCGAACTCCCCAGGTCTTTGCAACCTCAGGCCTTGGCAGAGGCTTCAGTTTAGGTATCCAGGTGTCAAAGATGCCTCCTGGACTCCACAGGCCAGGTCAGAGCCCTGTTAGAGATGCTCAGGTGCACCTCATGTTTCCCAGCTGCTATCACAATTGACATCAAGTGGTCCTCTGGGAAATGGTGTCATTGCTGTGTCCTCCACTAGACTGAAAGCTCCTAGGTCTTATTTAGGGCTGTAGGTCCAGCATCTGCCCCAGAGCATGAAACCAATAAATATGGTTGGATAGAAAATGGATCAATGGAAGAATGGGTAGTTGACTAGGTGAGTGGATGGTGAATGGGTGGACGGGTAGGTACATGGATGGATGGGTGGGTGGACAGGTAAACAAATGGACAGGTGGATGGGTGGGTAGACAGACAGTTGGGTAGATAAATAAATGAACAGATGGTTGGATGGCTAAACGGATGGATGGATGGATGGATAAATGGATGGGTGGGGGGTGGGTGGATGAATGGATGGATGGATTGATGGATGGGTAGATAGGTGGATGGATGGAGAGGTGGATGAATGGATAAATGGATGGGTGGATGGATATATAGATGGATGGATGGATAAATGGATGGGTGAGGGGGTGGGTGGATGGATGGATGGATTGATGGATGGGTAGATAGGTGGATGGACGGAGGGGTAGATGAGTTAATGGATGGGTAGGTAGATGGATGGATGGATGGATGGGGAAGTAGATGGATGGATGGGGAGGTGGATGGATGGGTGGGTGGCTGGGTGGGTGGACAGGTGGATGGACAGACTAATAGACAAATGGATGAAAAGACAACTTTTTGGACAAGGGCCCTCGTAGGCCCAGGGAAGCTCACCATGGACCCGTAGGCCATACTGCAGCTCTGTGCTACCTGCCACATTGGATGCCACACAGCGGTAGCTCCCAGCATCAGAAAGCTGGGCTTGCTCAATGCGGAGAACTCTCCCATCCGCTGATACTGTCACTCCCACCCGGGAAGAGACAGGTTGGCGGCCCTTGAACCAGGAGACATCTGGGGAATGGAAGAGAGATGCAAGAGTGCTGTCAGCCCTTCAGACTCTGCTGGCTGGTGGGACCCAAGAGAACCTTCCAGGGTGGTCACACCGTTTTTTTCGGGTCCTGGAGAAGGCCAGAGTTCTTCATTCAGGAACAGGAGCCGGGGTGGAACTGGGCAATGTCGCCCAAGACAAGACCAAGGGCGGAGAAGAGGCCCCATGGGCAGAGGCTGAGGCAGCCAGGAGTAGGGAGAGTCAAACTCAGCCCTGCCTCCCCCTACCTGGTGACCCCCTCACCTAGGGGACATTAGAGAACACGGACCAGCCCAAAGCAGCAGCCTCAAAGTTAGGCTGGACCGCGTGTGTCTGCAGCTTCCCTGCCTCCTGCCAGGCTGCCCCCTAGAACTCAGCAGGGGTCCCCACGAGAGGGGGCAAATATCCCCAGGGCTCACAGGCTCCAGGCGAAGCAGGGTGGGTCTAGTTCAGATGGGAGCAGGAGAGGCGCCTTCCTCCTGGGCCACCGTAAGCCTCTCCCAGTCCTCTATGCAAACACCCACACCCAGCCCCAAGCGCCCAGCCCTTTCCTCAACTGCTGGTATAGAGGGGGGCTCCTACAGGCTGGATGGTGACCCCTAGGTCCTGATCCTCACCCCCAGCCCCAGACAGCCCTGTGAAGTTTACTGTGAGTAGACGCCCAGCAGGCCTGTTTCAGACTCCGGGGTCTGGACCCTGGCAGTGCCTCGGTGTGAAGGACATCATTGAGGAGGAAGAGAGGAAAATGAGAGAAATGACGGGGTGCAGACCTGCTGATTTCTCGCCATTACATACGGTCAGAGGGTCCCTGGGTCACTCGCCAGCCTCATCAGATGGTGAATTGGGTTGGAAGTAGCTTTCAGCCAAGAGGAGGGGTCTTACCGGGAGGGGGCACGCCCGAAGCCAGACACTCCAAGGTTACTGAGGCATTTTCCAGCACTGCCTTGTTGATGGGGCCTGGCTCGATGTTGGGGGGCACTAAGGGGAGACAAGGAGAGGCCCAGCCTGGTAGGGGCCAGCTCTAGGCAGCTCGAATCACAGCCACTCCCAGTGCTGCTCCCTGCTCCCCTCAGAAAGTCCTAGACAACCATGGCTCTAAAACCGCTCATGTCCTCAGACTAAGGAACCCCACTCCTGGAACCAAACCCAAGAACAAAGAGCCACAGGCCCCCATCCTTACAGCAATTATACAAGGACCACACCAGCACCCAGCCCCACCCTGGGACAGCCGACAGCCAACATAGCCAGGGAAGAGACAAGGATAGGGATTTCCCTGCAAATAAACCCCCAAATAAACAAAGGTGAGTATGAACGTGGGCAAGGTCTGCTACTGAAAATCCCTCAAAAGCAGCCAAAAGGCTGGGCGTGGTGGCTCACGCCTGTAATCCAAGCACTTTGGAGGCCAAGGCGGGCGGATCACCTGAGGTCAGGAGTTCAAGACCAGCCTGACCAACATGGTGAAACCCTGTCTTTAAAAATAAATAAAATAAATAAATAAAAAGCAGCCAAAAGGGACTACAGAGCTTTTGCTAATGCTTTCATTTTAGGGCTTTCTACCTCTTCTGAAGTGAAGGACACAGCTATGATTTAAAAACCTCCCCCACCTCCCTAGCCACACACCCCAGCCCCAAGGGCCCTCGAGGGGTCACCCAACATCCCCGGCCTGGGCCCTGCTGGCACCCACATCCTCACCCAAAACCTTCAGCGTCACTTCCCTCTTGCTTTCCCCGGCCAGGTTAGTAGCGGCACAAGTGTAGATGCCCTCATCCCTCAGGTCCACCTTCTCAATCTGGAGGGGAGAGGGCAGAGCGTGTGCCACGGGGCTGTGTATGTGGTGAAACCACAGAGCCCAGACAGAAGGGAAGTCAGAGTGACGACGGGACATAGCGAGTGGCCAGGCCTCTGCTGAGCCCAGGGGCAGGGGTAGTGAGGCGTGGGGACACTTTTGGCTCTGGGGTAGTGTTATGAGCCAAGCACTCGGATTCCAGGGATTCCTCAGATCTCCAGGGGTACCGTTCCCCATCTCCATCAACATTTTCTCCCTCTGACAACTGAAGCTCCTAGGACCCAGAAGAGGCCGAGGCCTGTCCTTTCAGACTGAGAGGGCTCTGGGCTCGTCCTACTCCCAGGCTGCTGGGCTTTGCTCAGAGTCTCCAAGAGGCCCCCAGGCAGCCCCTCCACCTGTGCCCAGCAGGCCCGCCAGCCCTGGGGCACCTGCACGTACCTGTAGGTTCCCCCCAGAGGCTGCCAGGGCTACACCATCCTTCCACCAACGGATGCTTGGGGTAGGCACCCCATCCCCTATGCATTGGAGGGTCACAGGCTGCAGGAAAGGAGCTGTGATGTTCTCGCCCCCAATTATATTGACTGATGGGAACTCTGAGAAGGGAAACAGGAAAAGCCTGGGTCAGAATCAGGAGGGCTAGGGGGGCACCCAGCAACCGCCTTGATACCTGGGGGTGAGAAGGTGGCCTTGAAGGGCTGGCCAAAGGCTGGCATCTAGATTCTGCCCACCATATCCCCCAGACACGTGGCTTAGGGGAAAGAGCTCCTGACAAGCCAGCAGAGTAGTTATTCCCTTTAAAAATTCTCCCATCCATCTATGCACCTGTGCATCTATACATGTATTTATTCATCCATCTATCCATCTGTCCATCCACACATCCACCATCTACCAATACAGCCAGCCAGCCATCCACCCACCCATCCAACAATCCACTCATGCATGCACTCACCCACCCATTCATTCATCTACCCACCTTCCATCCATCCACTCATCCATCCATTCACCCACCTATCCACTTATCCATCCACCCAACTATCCACTCATCCATCCACCCAGCTATCCACTCATCCATCCACCCACTCTTCCATCCAACCAGTCATCCACCCACCCACCCACCCATTCATCCATCTGCCCACCCTTCCATCCATCTACCCCCTCTTCCATCCATCCACCTACCTTCCATCCATCCACTCATCCATCTACCCACCTATCCGCTTATCCACCCATCCACCCATTCATCCACCCACCCATCTATCCATCCATCCACCCACCCATTATCCATCTACTTCCCCTTCCATCCATCCACGTACCTTCCACCCACCCACCCACCCATCCATCCATTTCCCCATATATGCACCCTTTTATCTACCCACCCTTCCATCCATCCACCTTTCCATCCACCCACCCACCCATCCATCCATCCATCCATCCATCCATCCACACTTCTATCTGTCTACTCATTCATCTACCCACCCATCCACCTATCCAACCACTGATCTACCCATGCATCCTTAAGTGTGCTAAGCATCTACTCTGTGCTCAGAACTAGACTGGGCCCCTGGACACAGCAGGGAAAGGCAGCTGCCTTGCTGTCCTCTCAAAGCTCACAGAGGTGGACAGTGGAGGTGGACAACCAAATACGCAATCCCAATGCAGTGGGTGGAAGGCTAAGGCATTGAGAGGCTGGGCAGTGCAGATGAGAAACACGGTAGAATCAAAGAAGGCTTCCTGGAGGAAGAGTATTTCAGGATATGCCTGAAAGATAAGGAGGAGCTAGGCAGGCAAAGAGGAGGGAGAATGTTGCAGATAGAAGGAACAGCGTATGCAGACTGGAAGGTGAGAGAAAGAGGGTTGATGTAGTAAAGGAACTGAGTGAAGTTCTGTGTGGTTACATAAAGAGAGCAGATGGAGAGAGAAGAAGCTGGGGAGGGGAGTCAGGCCGAGGGGCTGGACGGGACAGGGGTGTGATACATGGCCCAGGCCAGCCTCTCACACCTGCACTGCGTCTCTGTGGGGAACTGGGAAGTCCAGCCCAGAAATGCCATCCAGAGAAGACCAGCCCCATGCCCTTCCAAGCCTGCCACAGCCCTCTGGCTCCACCCACCCCTGGCATCTCAGGCTGCCCACAGCCCCAGAGCCGCAGGTGCCCACTCACCATGCACAGACACGTCCACCTCAGCCCCGGCAGTGCCTGCCTCGTTGGTGGCCTGACAGGCAAAGAGGCCCGAGTGTTCCAGCCCCACACGGTCAATGCGCAGTGTGGTACCCCGCGAGGCCACCTGCACCCCGGCCAGCTCCTCCGCTGGGCGGCCATTCTGCAGCCACCTAAGGTGAGTAGGGAGGGGGGCGGGTCAACCTGAGGCCAGAGAAGGCCCAGCCAGGCAGGACAAGCTGGAAGCCTAGAAGCGCCTCCCACCCGCTCTCACCAGCAGCAGCTCCAGGCCTCTTTCCTGCTCCTGGAAACAGGAAGCCTCTCTCTTGTCCACTTCCCCCCATGACCCCAAAGCACATGCTCCCTGCCCACCCCAGCCCTGGCCTCCACCGCCCCAGACTCACTGGATAGTGGGTACTGGGGAGCCTGAGGCCTGGCAGGGAAGCTCCAGGGGCTGGCCCACGATGGCGGTCACCTGTCCCAAGCCTTCAGCCACCAGGAGTTGTGGGGGCACTGCAGGCAGAACCCACTCCTGGGTGTTTGGAGCTGAACAGCCACTGGCCTCAAACCCTCCCAAGTCCCCAGTGCCCTCAGAACAAGGCCCAGCCACACCTCACCCTTCAGGTCTCCCTATTAGTGGCCCCTCCTCCAGGAGGCCTTCCAGGACCACCCCAAGGCGGAGTGAGGGGACAGCCTGGCTTCCGCAGGCTTGGGCCTGATTATTTCACATCTGTCTCCTTGGCAGACTGAGGGCTCAGGAGTCCGGCTGGCCTTGTTCCCAGCTTCATTTCCAGTGTCACATGGGGCCAGCACAGCGCTAGTACCTGAGATGCTTCAGCAATGGACAGAAGGGCAGGCGAAGGCCCCAGTGCCCTCCCGGGACCACACCCACAAGTGGGCCTTAGGAAGGTCTCCATTAAGGGCCATTCCATTGGCAGAAAGCAGAATGGGGTCCTCCGTCCTGGGTGACCCGGCCCAGGGTCCTGGGCAGGGGCAGGGACCCTTGATCCTGGGGCTCTGCCCTGCCCACTCCTAGTCCTGCCGGTCCCGCAGCCCAGGCCTCAGTGTGTCATGCAACGTGGGGACACTGCTTACTTCTCCCCCTCTCCCTCCACTGCAGGAGCTGACTTGGGACAAGCATGCAGCAGGCCTGGGCAGAGGCCACAGCGCAGGCAGCTCTGCGTGGGGCAGGCCCGGCTCACCCTGCACCTCCACGGAGTACTGCAGCACGGCCTCCCCGGCAGGGCTGCTGGCCACGCAGCTGTACAGGCCGGCCGACGCCTCCCCGAGGCTGTCCAGCCTCAGCACGCTGCCACCCGTCTCCAGCCGCAACTTGTTGCTCTCTGCCACGGGCAGCCCCTCGTGGTGCCAGGAGAGGGTGGGGGGCGGGTGGCCTCTGGCCACGCACTCCAGTGCCATGGGCCTCCCAGCGACAGCCTTCACCACATACGGTCCTCTGTCAGCGCCCTTGATGGTGGGTGGGACTGGAAAAGAGGCAGGGGACTGCTTGGGGACCACACGGACTCCAGCCTGCTCTCATCTCAGCCCAACAGAGTCGGTCAAGCCCCTCACAGACCCCACTCCATGTGAAACACTTCCTCCCCCACCTCCACTGGCTGGCCCCCCTGCTGAGACCCGGGGCAGCTTTCTCTCCCCCCTTGGTCCCTGGGTACCGCCCCTCCCCTGCCAGGGCACTGACTGTTGCCTCTCCATCCCCGCTGCCAGCCCCACAGGTCCAGCATGGGTGGAACCAGGGCTGCCAATGTCTACACATGGCAGGTCCAATATCTGCTGGACTCAGATAAGACCCCCAGGGCTGTGACGGAGCTCTGCTCCTGGAGGTCCCCTCCCTCCCTGGGCTCAGGAGGCAGAAGACTGGGGCAGACCTGAGCTAGACGGCTTGGCTTGAGGGGCTCCTATCTCAGCCAGCGACGGCCAAAGGGACAAGATGTTATCTGTGCTCAGAGCCCACGGTAGCCACACCAGAGGGGAAATTTCTCTCTTACTCTCAAGGAACCCCTCAAGTTGCTGAGCTGATGAAGCCATTACCAGGGGACAAGGGGCAACTGTGGCCTGGGAAATACTTCTTAACTTTATTTGTGTGTAAAACCCTTTGAGAATTTAATGAAAACAGACACATACATTTTCTATTCCATTTTCCAAGAGGACCCTCAGGTTCCAAAATAAGAGTCCCCAAGCTAGTAGCAGAGCCATCTTCAGAGGCTGCCAGTGGACCCCACGCCGCCCAGCTGCCCTCTGGAGTCCCTGAGGCTCCAACCCACGCCGCCCAGCTGCCCTCTGGAGTCCCTGAGGCTCCAACACCCAAGCCCTTTGCATCTTTGGAAGCCAGAGCTTCTGAACTGACTCCCCACAGGGGGGTGGGCTGACCCCTGTCAGCTTGCACTCTGTCCTCTCATACTTCATCAGGCCCTGCTCAGACCCCTCCAGAGCCACCAACGCCCTTGCCTCTGAGCTCTCCTTCAAATGTCTGTCTGTCCCCAGAGCCAAGCCCCTTTGAGCTGAGCTGACGCTGAGGTTCACAGTGTGAGATTTAGAGTCAGATGTCCCCACATATGGGCCGGGTCCCACCACCTGCTAGTGGCGTGATCCTGGGGAAGCCTCTCTGCTTCAGAGCTTCACTGTGACCATCTCTAAGTGGGACCTGAGAGCCCAAGTCCCCTTGCCAGCTGATCAAATGAGCTGATGCTGCCAAGTGCCCCTCTAGTCTAGCTTATAGACGTGATTAACTTTGGGAGGCCGAGGCAGGTGGATCACGAGGTCAGGAGATCGAGACCATCCTGGCCAACATGGTGAAACCCCATCTCTACTAAAAATACAAAAATTAGCAGGGTGGGGTGATGCATGCCTGTAATCCCAGCTAATCGGGAGGCTGAGGAAGGAGAATCACTTGAACCTGGGGGGTGGAGGCTGCAGTGAGCGGAGATCAGGCCACTGCACTCCAGCCTGGCGACAGAGCAAGACTCCGTCTCAAAAAAAAAAAAAAAAAAAAAAAAAGAAGTGATTACCTAAGGGTGTTCAGTTCTTGTGTTGGTCACAGGCTTCTGGGCATGGTTTAGTGAGAAGCCCCACACCACAAGAGGAGACCTGGATGCTAGACTTGGCTCCGCCATGGCCTCCTAGACGGGCCCGTCCACCCCTGGCCTCAGTTTCCTTACGTGTGTGAGGGACGTTGCATGAGCTGGGAGGACCCTTCTCCCTAGATGATGTCTTGGTCCCATTATCCTTTTGCTTCTGACCACTCCAGGCGGCCACCTAGCCTTCCTTTGGAGACAGGCAGAGGCCACCATGGCTGAGTCCCTCCCACTGCCCACCCTGGCTGCCGTGGCCCCTGGCTGCTCACCGTAAACGTCCAGCCTGGTGGCCTTCTCTGTGGCCCCCACAGCATTGCTGGCCTTGCAGGTGTAGACGCCGGCATCTGAGCTCTGGGCCCTCTCCAGCTGCAGCTGCCGACCACCCCGAGTGTAGACGGCCTCGGTGCTGGGGGGCAGCAGGGCCCCGTCCTTGAACCAGGTGATATTCGGGGTGGGCACTCCTCGGGCCTCGCACAGGAGCTGCACCAGGTGGCCCTCCATGACGGCCACCTCTCCTGTCTCGTTGGAGCCCCAGATAGTGGGGGGTGCTTAGAAAGGAGGCGGTGGGGGCTGGTCACAGGCAGCCCCTGAGGCCACTGGCATCTTCCCCAGAGCAGCAGATTCATGCCCTCAGGCCACACTGAGGGGGCAGGGAAGGCATGGGGGACATGGAGGACAGGGGTCTGGGGACAGATGGGAGAGGCCAGCATGGTGTGGAAGGTGCAGGAGGTGGGGGCGGGCCCACAGGCTTGGGTCCTGGGCCCTACTCTGCCTCTAACTCACTGGAAGACTAGGGGTAAGTCACTTCCCCTCTCTGGGCCTCAGTCTCCCCGTCTGTGAATGAGCAGCTGGACTAGATTAGGATGTCACACAGGGCTGGGCAGCCACCACCAATGCTACCCATGTCATTTCTAGGGGCACATGGGCACAGCATGAAATAACCGCATCTCAGAATGAAATGGCTATGCTCCCCGCCCACCAAATCTCCTTCTATCCTGATTACAGCAAGGAAAGGCTGTGTTTGGTGCTACTATGCACGGCCCTGATTTTTCTAGCACTTTCTGCTCTCTGTTCTTTAGCACAGAGTGTGCAGATGCATGCTGGGTGCCCTCCATGGAGCCCACGCCTCGAGGATTTGCAGCATTGCTCTGCGGGGTGTGTTTGTTTTTTCAGCTTCCTTAGCCAAGCAGCTCTGGTTTCCTGCTTACAGTTTTTATATTAAATAGCCTTTATAAGAATAAGAGATATTTAAATAGATGTGTTTCAGGGTAAGGAAGTCTACTCATTTAAAGAAAAGTAAAAGAAATCATCATTCCAAGGGGTATCAGAAGTAGTAAATTTGGGCCAGGTACAGTGGCTCATGCCTGTAATCCCAGCACTTTGGGAGGCCAAGGCAGGGGGATCACTTGAGGTCAGGAGTTTGAGACCAGCCTGGCCAACATGGTAAAACCCGATCTCTACTGAAAATACAAAAATGAGCTGGGTGTGGTGGAGGGTACCTGTAATCCCAGCTACTCAGGAGGCTGAGGCAGGAGAATCGCTTGAACCCAGGAGGCGGAGGTTGCAGTGAGACAAGATTGTGCCACTGTACTCCAGCCTGGGTAACAGAGTGAGACTCCATCACAAAAAAAAAAAAAAAAAAAAGTAGTAAATTTTTAGAGCTGGGATGCAAACCACGGATTTGGAAAATGCTGGGCCAGATACCCTCTATCCCCTGACCCTGACCCTGACCCCGACCCTGACCCTGGCTTTCTTGGACTCAGGGATCACTCACCAGGTTCCCCATTTCAGCCCTCACCCTCCCTCCAAGGCAGCAGCCAGCTGGTGGGAAGCTTCCCAAGTAGCCTGTGGCAGGGTCCCAGAAGGTGCTGGGGCTCACCATGAACTTGGAGCTGGAAGTCCTTGGCCTGCTGACCAGCTGGGCTGAAGGCTGCACACTGGTATCGTCCCTCATCCCCCAAGTGACTGCTGGTGATCCTGAGAACCTGACCGTCCTCCTGGACCTGCAGGTGAGGGCCTCCTGGAAGGACAGGCCTGGAGGGACGGGCAAGGGAAAAGCTCCCGTAAGGCCCAGGCGCTGGTGGGGCAGGCGGTACACAGGTAGTATGCGGCTTGTGAAAAGGGAGGCTGGGCCGTTCATGAGCACCAAGAGGTGGGAGCAACACAGGGGCCCAGTAAGCGAGGAACGGATCAACAACGTGAGGTCCATCCACACCACGGAACATTATTCAGCCAGAAAAAAGAAGGCAGTTCTGATACTCGCCACAATATGGATGAACCTGGAAAACACGCTGAGTGGGAGAAGCCAGACACAAAAGGCCGCACATTTTACTATGCCAGTGATGTGAAATGCCCAGCACAGGTGAGTCCATGGAGAAGGAAAGCTGACTTGTGGTTGCCAGGGGCTGGGGAGAGGGGGACAGTGGCTGACTGCTGATGCGCACAGGGTGTCCTTTTGGGGTGATGGAATGTCAGGAACTAAACAGAGGTGAAAGTTCCCCAGTCCTGTGAATGTATTAAATGTCACTGCACCGTGCACTTTAAAATGCCTAATTGTAATTGTATGTTATGTGATTTTTTTTTTTTTTTTTTTTTTTTTTTTTTTGAGACAGAGTCTGCTCTGTCATCCAGGCTGGAGTGCAATGGCGTGATCTTGGCTCACCGCAACCTCAACTTCCCAGGTTCAAGTGATTCTCTTTCCTCAGCCTCCTAAGCAGCTGGGATTACAGGCGCGCACCACCATGCCTGGCTAATTTTTTTGTATTTTTAGTAGAGACAAAGTTTTGCTACGTTGGGCAGGCTGATAACTCCTGACCTCAGGTGATCTGCCCACCTCGGCCTTCCGAAGTGCTGGTATTACAGGTGTCAGCCACCAAACCCAGCCTTTATGTGAATTTTACTTAGAGAAAAAATGTGTTTAAAAAAGAGGCTGGGCATGGTAGCTCATGCCTGTAATCTCGGCACTTTGGGAGGCCAAGGCGGGAGGATTGGTTGAAGCCAGGTGTTCGAGACCAGCCTGGGCAACAAAGCAGGACCCCGTCTGTACAGACTTTTTTAATTAGCCCATTGTTGGCTGGTGTACCTGTGGTCCCAGTTATTTGGGAGGCTGAAGTGGGATGATCTCTTGAGCCCAAGAAGCCCAGGAGTTTGAGGCTGCAGTGAGCTGAGATCGTTCCACTGCACTCCAGTCTGGGCAACTGAGCAAGACTATTGTCTCCAAAAAAAAAAGGAAAGGCTACATGATGAGAAGACCTTGCTGAGGCAAGAGTGGGGTCTCCCTGGCTAATCTCCCCCGCTGGGCTGGAAGTGCCCCTACAGCCCTCAGCCTGGGCCCTGGGTGGCACATGCCATGCCTGTCAGCTCCCCCAGAAGAGTTCAACCTCCCCCAACCCCCACATCCACCAGGCCGTCTGGCCACCATCCCACACCGTCCTCCAGGGGAGGGGGCACTCACTGCCCGTCCTTGGTCCACTCCACCTGGGGCGTGGGAACCCCTGAGGTCCAACACTGCAGCTCCACGTTTGCACCAGCCAGCCCCAGCACCTCCTGGGTAGCCCCAGCTCCACGCACTGAAGGAGGGACTGGGGGTGAGAAGGGGTGAGGGTGAGGGGTGGGAATACGGTTCGAACCCTGAAGCCTCACCTACCACAGGGCCTTTGTCTGTGCAGACCCCCCCACCGCCGCCTGGGTGTCCTGCCCCTCCTACCCGACTTTCCTGGGAAGCCCCCAGAACCCCGGCCACATGGGCTCGCCCTGCAGCCCTCAGACCCAGGCTACTCTTTGGTAGCACTTGCAGCAGTAATGACTTGGCTAATCACCTGGCTGTCTACTGTCTGTCCCCGGAGCCTGACAGCTCTGTGGGGGGGGGGTTGGTCTGCCGTGGGCCCCTCTGTGCTCCCTGCTCTCGGCAGGCAAAGCCTCCCCTGTCCCCCAGTGTGCCTGCAAGAGTTAGGGCTACAAGGCCAGGAACACATGGGAGCTGTGGGACCCAGGCCTCACTCACTGAGCACAAGGAGATCGAAGTCCCTCTGCGCTGTCCCAGCCTGGTTCTCCGCCCGGCAGGAGTAGAGGCCAGAATCACCCTCCTGAATCCTGGGGAAGTGGAGGGACCGGCCCCCGTCCAGGAGGCGGTGGCCGCTCACCTTGGGGATCTGGGCAGGAGAGGCCAGAGGGAGCTGGTAAACAGGGGTCCAGCCACCCCTCCAGCGCCAGTAATGAGGAGGAAACTGAGGCCCGAGAGGTGGCCAGTGACCGGAACGGTGCTGTGCTCTCTGCCATGCAGCTCCCTGCCAGGCTTCATCACGCGACCACAGCCCTCCACTGCCCTGAACCCCAGAGCACCCCCAAAGACACCCATCACATCCCTCCGCCCCACCTTGGCACATGCAGGAACGCCCATCCAGAAGGCTTGTCCCCAGCCCAAATCCCACCCACTCAGGGGGACACCCACCAGCTGCCCATCCTTCAGCCACATGATCTCAGGGACTGGAAAGCCGCTCGCGTCACACTCCAGCGTCAGGGACTGCCCAGCCATGCCCGACACGTTGGCCTTGCGCCCGTCCTCTCGGATGCTGGGGGGCACTTGGGGGCAAGGAGAGTCGAGGAGCTGCTTCCCTGCCCCCTAGCGCCACAGCCGAAGGGACCTCACCTGGGCCATTCCCTCCCTTTTGTCACTGGGGTCGGAGGAGGTCTGCCTGTCCCCATCCGCCCAGCCACAAAGGGCCCTGTGGACCTGCAGATGGCCGCAGCAGCCTTGCCCTGGGACCGACACGCCCCCAGTCATGCCCAGTCCAAGGTGCCACCCTTTCGGACACTCAGCTTTGCAAGGCGCTAGAGTCCCCCTAGATCCATCCACTTCTACACCCAACCTGGTGTCACAGTTACCGGGGAGGGTCCCCCTGAGTCAGAATCTCTGAAGGTAAGGCCTGGCCATGCTTTTGAAACAAACATCTCAAGCAAGTCATTACAGGGCGAGCCAGGGCAACTGGTCCTGGGGAAGTGGCAGGTGGCATTAGGAGCTGTTAGAACAGCCCAAGCGAGGCCAGTTCATCCTGCCAGCAGGCAGCACTCCCCGGCCTACCCTCACTGCCCCCGTTAAGAGGGCTCCCCTTTCTCTGCTCATAGCACCCTGGATGTGGGGGTGGGTGCTCTCCCTGCTGAGGACAGGAATGTGAGAATAGGCCAATGTTTACAGTTTAAACCTGGATGTGGGCTCTGGGGCTCTGTGCTGCCATCAGTGCTCATTTAAAAAAATAATTTTTAAAGTTTATTTTCTGTAGAGACAAGGTCTCTCTTTGTCACCCAGGTTGGTCTCAAACTCCTGGGCTTAAGCAATCCTCCTGCTTCAGCCTCCCAAAGTGCTAGGGTTACAGGCGTGAGCCACTCCACACAGACAAGGGGTCATTTTAAAATGTTTTCACCTCTAGACCGATCTTAGACACTGATGGAGTTCCAGGTGTTTCCCCCATACTGTCTCCGTGGGGGTGTTTCCCCCATACTGTCTCCGTGGGGGTGTCTCTAGAGAAGTGAGGTGTCCAATGCAACCTGCCACTCTCCCAGGCCCCTCAAGCCCTCCCTGTCACTGGCATTTGGTGGCAGGACCTGATCCTCCTGTGTAGGGAGGTCTTGGGCCCTGGAGAACTGTCACTGCCACACCTGGGCACCCTGTAGCCCCCAGCATCACCGTGGGCCTCTGGCCGGATGCAGTCCTGGGAGGAAGACAGGCCCTTCCCTGGGTCCCTGCTGCTTTCCTCTCCTGCCCCCAGCTCTGGCTCCCTGCTCACCATAGACCACCAGCTTGGCTCTCCTGGATGAGGAGCCCACCTCGTTGGTGGCCTGACACTCGTAGTCTCCACTGTCCATGGGTGAGACGGAGGCCAGGAACAGAGACCCCTCCTCCAGCACTGCCACACCTGGCCGGCCACGCAGGGGCTCTGAGGACGGGCCCTTCCGCCATGTGACCTGCGGCTTGGGTGTCCCTGGCAAGGTGCAAGGAGTCATCAGTACATACACCCGGACACCTACCCCTCCACATCTGCACTGTCTCCCACCCGTCTCCTCTGTGCAAAAGGGGCTGGTCCTCTAGGGATGGCTCCAGGCACCTCCGTCCCCCCGAGGCTGGGAGGAGCATTTCCCTCGGAGCTGTGGGTGCCCCCACACCTATCCACACTGCCCATCCTGATGACCAGTGGTAGCAGCAGAAGGTGGGTGGGAGTGACATGCCGATCTGCAAGTCTGGGGACTACACACACGAAACACCATCCACACACCGCACACAAACATACACACCAAACACGACACACACCACACAGCACATACACACCACACACTATACACAAACACCACACATGACATACATCCCAAACACCACACACACCACACACTACACACACCACACACTGCACACACCACATACACAACATACACACCAAACATGACACATACCACACAGCATATACACACCACACACTATAC